AACAAGTTTCTTCCTGAAATCAATATCAGCCATCTGAAATTAAACCTTAATCTGTAAATATCTGCAACGTGTTCCTATTAAACTGAAAACTGTCTTCCCTGGCTCCCCTGACCTCAAAGATCATTCAGCTTCTGCTTCTCTCAGCATTTTTCAGTCCACCCTTCAACCTGCTCTGATCGGCTTCTTCACAGCTCAGCACTCCCTTGGCCAGTAACTGCACCATCAGTCTGGCTTTCCGTGATAAAATAGTTCTCCACAATAGGATCCATGCTACTGCAATTACCTTGTAAAGGTACAACCTTTAGGGCAACTACCTCATGTTTCCAGATCTGTGATATCAGCCTCTGAACTTTCCTTTCAACCTGAAGGCAAGTGGAGATCCGATAGTGCTACAGCAGATGCTTAGCGAACGTGCATACAGCCACCCCACAGACAGGCAGCGAAAAAATTCTGTATTATACTCACTACATGTCTGAAAGATTGCTGTTATACTGCAGATAAATAACATCAACTATCATAAAATATTGGCTTCAACTAAAATAGGGGAATATTTCGAGATCAGCACCCTTTGCAAAGAGCAATGCTGCTGTGTTATAAATGGAAAATATCAAAATGCAGAACAAAATATGTGAGAGTGAAAAGCCTAACATCTGAAGCTGAAAATATCAAAATTATCTAAAATAACAGCTGATAAACTAGTTGGAATGGGAAAAAAAGTGCTGAAGCAGATTTCAAGCACAAGAGAAAGGTTAAAGGACAAAACGAAAGATGAAGGAAACAAATGGAAGTGCTGCCTGTTTCAGCCATCAGCAGCCTTTTGTTAAACAGTTATGGGAGGAAGGGGCCTCTACTTTTTTCGCCATATGGAATTCTATTCCCAGTGTTTTATGCCTGCAGTAAACTGAAAACTTCAATTTGCTAGAGTCTGTGGTAAAGTTTGGCAAAACTCTTCAACCTCTAGAGAAGGATGGTAACTTTCCTTTTAGTTGGCATGGGTCACGCAGCGGTTTGAAAAAAAAAAAATCCAGTTCAAAGTTAAACTTGGCCAAAAAATGAGCCTTTCTCCCCTTTCAGCCCATCCGAGAGACAAACCTGCCATCCTAAGCACCAATTTACTTTCTGACTTTCAGAGCATACCCCAAACTCAGATCTTGGCACAGAATGCTTTGAATTCAGATTGACTAAAACATTTTACAACTTGATACAACATTAAGATGTTTGATTCATCTGCCCATACTCATCAATTAGCAGGTAAGAAATCAGTAAAATTATTAACTTCCTGGTTATCAAACTGAGCAGAATTTACCTTTAATTATATTTAGACCAATTTCTTAGTTCTCATAGTAAAAAAAAAATCAAAGCCATAATTCTTTTCACTCAAATCTAAGGCAACCTAAGGCAACTATTAAACCTAAGGCAACTATTAAACAGTACAAAAGAAACAGCTGTTTTGTACAAGAGATATAGACACTAATTACCTTCTATCCCAAGAAAGTCTCAGTGACACCTTAATTGTTTGCTCTGGTTCTTCCTTGTTTTAGCATTATAAGTGCTGAGCATCATTGCTCTGTGGCCACAAAGTGAGCATAAGCTCCCTTAAAATAAGGTTCATTACTTCCCAATCCAGATTATATCATTTTATGATTTATGACAGGATTAAACATGGTTTTAAGCTATAAAAGCCATTTAAAAATAGATATTTAAAATTTTATTTTTCTTTAAAAACTTTTTAAAAGTTATTCTAGACTGAAGAGGTAAATGACCTGGGTTTTGGTAGGGATATACTATTCAAACATAGCAAAAAGATGAATTTACATCCATAATTCAGCTCTACATTACAGTTTGTATCTTTACCATGTCCATTTTTTTAACCAAGAAGACAGTAAAGGCTATTCAAAATGAGCTAAAAACATCTGCTGGAGTTCACATAACTGATTATAATTTCAAGAGACAAATAGAGATGGATGAAGTTGAAGCCAATATTCACTTAAGGAGTAACTTTTTGTGAATAAAGAAGGAAATGCTCAGATTTTAAAGACTTTACTGCAGGTTTTACCACACTGCTTCAAATGAAACATTTTGTAGTGATTCTTCAAATGAAGACAAAAGGAAAACGTCAGGTACATTAAGCATGCCACATGCTACCCTTTGTCCCATACCATGAAAATGCCCCAGACAACATACGTTTTGAAACAGAACCCAGATCAGTTTGATGACTGGAAGTGGAAAATATGACAAATATATAAGAATAAAGACATTTTTGCATTATTACTTGGACTTCCTTATTTTAGCTGAACACATTCTGTCTCAAGGCTTTAATCTCTGTATAACTAGAAAATATGATATGTCCGTAGTACAATTTGAAGACAGTGAATTGGCTAATGCTTAAATTTAGCTAAAAATCTGAACAAGCTGACAGTCAAAGCAGGTAAGCCAAGGTCTATTGACCCCAGAAAAAACATGTAATTCTGTAAGAAACTAATATCTAGTTTCTCAGTATTGTATAATAGCTCTCTTAGTGCATTGCATTTTAAAAGCCCTTAATGTGAGGCAGAATATGCAGCTCCCATTTTATTGTCCAAAACTGGGACGTAAGAAAATACAGAAATTATTCAAGGATGTGAAGGACCTGATTACACCTTTTTTGAGAGATGCTTGAGGTTTTAAGAACCTGTCAGCACAACACTAGACAACAGTGAATATTAGGCAGCAGTTCTTCCCACAGAAACATCCACCTATCCAAATGATGATTATATAATTGCCCCAGTGGCTCAAGTTGTCAGTCATAATTCTTAGCTTTGCAGAACAGCTTTCATTTGTGTTGCAAATTTCTTATACAAGTCAGATACAATTTCACTGTACTTTTAAAATACACAATAATAATAAAAAGTCATAGATAATGTCCTGGTACCCTAAATATAATACAAAATAACACATGGAAGATGCTAAGTAGGTCTATACAATAGAAATCAAAATCTTACTTCTAATAAGAAGTAAATAAAGAATAGAAAAATGATTTTTGTCAGGATCAAAAGGAGTTTGGTTGACTTCTCCTCCCTACTTCCCCATGCCCTCAAATTGGAGCCCAATTCAATGAAAAGAATATGAGTTTTTCCTGGAGAACAATGTTCATATGTTCATACTTCCTAATATTTTGTTCCAATGCTTTTGTTTGTTTGTTTTCCCTCAAAGTTTGTCTACCTTACAAAATGTAACAGGCACCTCATAACACTGCCAAACACTGAGCACTGGGCCTGTAAGAACCTGATGTTTGGATTCCACCACTGCACAAGAGTTCAAAGGCAGCTGCATTGATCACCACGGTTACAATGAACCTGACCAGAGCTACAGAAGCCAAAACAACTAACCCAGCAAACAGGGACCAAAGCAGCACTCAGTTGGATCCCTGCAAGTAAACCCACTGAGCTTTAGGCTGGGAGTGTGCCTTGATTATCTCTGTCGGGCTCCTTGAGTGGGAGAAGGAGGAACAAGGTACTTTGCTCACTTTTATAAATGTCATTGCACAGTCACAGTTTGAGATATGAACAGCACAGTCTGAGAAACTAAAGAATAATCACGAATGCCTCAGTTTTTGCAGTGATTAACAGACTAGTCCAGAAGCCACTGAAATTAGTAGAAAGACTGCACACGCATTAGCTCAAGCCCAGACACCTTCTTAAGGCGTGAATTATCGTTCATAACTACCTATGGCAATGCACATGGATGTCAACTTCCCATATGCAGGGAAAACATTTACCGTTGGACCACACAGAGAGATCATGGTTAAAAGTACTTTTGAAAAATACCCACAAATGAAATTTTAATCAGTTTGTCTCTCAGAAAGCAACCACACCAAATGTCTTCTGTAAGAAAACAAACAACCGTGTCTGCATCGTTGTTCATAAGAAATGGAAGTATGTAGCATTTACAAGCTATACATAACTGACTCCAGTGTCTTTGGACTAATTAAACCAATGAAGCTAGCAGCTAGCAGCTTACTGATGTCTTTTAACACAGAAGGATTTGTGTATCATAAAAAAAAAATCTGAAATACACAAAACACTAAACTTGTTTAGAAATCTTCCTTGTCTGGTTCAGTTTAGAACACCCACACATCTTCGTCTTAGGCATAGAGAACCATGAATCAGATCAGGGTCAGCTTGGTGCTTTGAACAAAGCTATATAAGACCAAAAGCAGCAATGAAAAAAGAAAAAAAATTGAGATTTAACTCTAAAATCTTTCTAGTTTCTCAATTAAGCTAGAATTCTTTCTTGTTTTTTGTTTAATGTCTAAGAATAATGAGTATAAAGATCACTGCTAATACCTATGAAAATAAAATCTCTTACCTGTGAATTTGATATCAAAGATTTAGCTGGATAACAAATTTTATACAGAGTAAAAGTCTCAGAGATAGGAATTCAATCACACTCAGGAAATTATGGATCTGTACTAGAGGTTTTTTCCCATTTCATGAAAACTGTCTAAAATCTCACACTTTCAATTATTTTTGAGAAAACAAATTCAATAATTTTTGTTTACTAAAGGAAGCAAGACAGAAAAAATGCTGCCAAAGTTTACAAAGTACAGCAGGGATTAAACATACATAAGTTTAAGTCCTTCTTGCAAATCAAGAAAGTTAAAAACTTGAATGTCAGTCGTCACTACACTATTCCCCAGTTTATTTTGGAGTCCTTCTCACCCTATCTCAGTCTCACTACTCCTGCTTGGCTTGCTATTTTACAGCAAGTATATTTTGGCCAAAATAGTCCTCAAAAAAACTCTGGTGATACGAGTCCCAAATTAGTCTACTTAATCATAAAAGATAAAACAGGAAAATCATGTGCTGTTAATAGGAAAGATGTAAAAATCTTGTTTTAACAGGCACTCGGTTTCACAATGTCAGTAGACTTTCTTTTTTGGGATGAAAGCTGGAAACATTTATTTCCAGAGCATATGCTCACAGCTCTCTTATACAAGAAATAAAGAATCAGTGTATTACCATGAAACCATTGAGCAATCCTGTTGGTGTTCCTCTCAAACCCAGCACGTCGGGGGATCTGCTCTTCTTTGAACCAGCGGATGATGACATCTCGGGAGAAGGGTCGGGATGGACGCTCCCAGATGTTACTGCATTGAAAGAGAGAATTAGTAGTGCACAAAAACAAGAGATAATATAAATTTTAATTATCTTTTTTTTGCACATTTACAACACATACAGCTTCAAAATGGCCAGTGTAACTTTGTTCAGTATAACTCACTGAACAACTTAAACCTTTTCAAAATCTATTAAAAGTATTTTGAGTTTTTACGGAAACAACAATATTGTGACTTTTACATTTGCAATGGAACCTTAGACATTTTTTAAGCACAGAACTTAAACTGAAAACCAGTTTATCACAAAAGATGCAATGGATATTTCAGTCAATTTTCCTTTTCCACCACGTTTTTATTCCAAGATAAACACTCATGTGCAAATTTTATTTTTTTACTTAAAGTATACTCCTCTTCACTGGCAAGAAATTCTAAATCAGAATCAGCTATAATACATTGTGTCTCCAAACCACTAAGCACAAGAGAGGGAATGTTTTGTTTAAACCCACATATTCCCTTTGCATTCTCTACTTGAATGCCTCCCTTACTCTTTCTACGCATTACACCTTCTGTGTATTTCTGATAGTAGGAGACAAATCAGATAAAATATGTGGAAGATCCATACAACTGCCACAAATAAGGTGTAAGGTGTACCACATCAAATTCAAGTATGGTGATATGCAGCTGAGTCCTCCTTTCAGCTTATCTTGCTGTTACTTAAACTAGTGACTAGTTCTATTGATATCAAGTGATGAAGCCCACAGTGAATGTAATAGCTATTGCTGAATTACATGAATGTATGTGAGTAGATCTGACTGTATCTTCAAATTAACTGTAAAATTTGAAGGTACAACCATAAGTGGGGGGGAAGGGAGAATTCAGTTACAGATACAAACTGAAAAAAGCAAAAAACAAACACCACGTTTCTTGTTTCTCGTTTTTCAATACATTATATAAAGAAACAAAAAATCCCTTAAATTACAGGGCTATACAGTCCATTCTTGTTCCTTAACTCGTTTCTCTCTAATTCAGTTAAGTTTTGAACAACCTGTCACATCCATAATTTTTCCTGCCCTAGGCCAAATCTCAAAATTACTGTGTCAGTTTCTCTACAGCTTCTGTGCTCAAGCTTGTTCAATAGGGGCAGGAAGAAAGAACTACAAGCCACAGAAGTAAAAATAAAACACCACAGTAGGCAAAAGGATAAAAGTGAACAGGCAGGCCAAAGAGTTTCATCAGGAGGAGAATGCTCAGCAAAGTAAAAGAGACAGTAGGAAAAAAAAAATCAAATGGTTTTCTATATAGCTACGCAGAAATAAGAGAGAGATATCTCAAGCAAAAATAAAAGAATACTATTTCCATGTGGCTTTTAAAAGAAATGACAAGGCAAGGTAAAACACTAAAGGAGCAATACTTCATGTTGAAAAACTTAGAGACGTAACACTGAACCTACATTCCCTTGAGGCAAAAAAACTGTCTCATAGCTACGGTAAATATCAACACAGTGTGCATCTCTCCTTGACCTCCCAGGGCACTGGCAAAGTAAAATCTTTCCATACCAGTGTAAGCTGTGAGGAGTTGAACTGTACACATTTATGTATATTCAATATTCAAGCATTTGTTAAAAGTAACTTTTAAGTTTCTTGACAACTTCACAATCAAGCCATGGCTAGACAATAAGAAGTCTTAATAGATAAGAAAAATAATTACTGCCTCATTTTTGCAGTATAAACATAGCTTAGAAACAGATAAATAATATTGAATGTGAGCTGGACAATGATCGAAATACTTTTCAGCTTCTTTTTAGGTTCTTTTTGGAAATTATCTATCTAGCACCACCAAATTCTATAGTAAATAACTTCACGATAGAACTCAGAACTTCAGGTCAAAGATATGAACTGTCTTTTCTCAAAATTTGCCACTTATACTGGTGTTTTTACTACTTCAGTTTGAAGGAGAGTTTAAGCAGTTTGGGAAAATAATGAGAGACTTCCTTTGACAAATTAAACTGATGGTAACTTTAAAGATCCTGGTCACTCAAAGTGAAATTCTGATTCCTCCTCAAACTGGGAGTTTTGGTTGCTGTTACGGGAGAGTTTCTATGCCTTAATACAGCAGAGCAAAGAACTCCAGAAAACATTTCCAAACAATGGAGTATCAGTGGTACTGCACTGACTGGGAAGTAAAAAGAATGTAATAGGACTCTTTTCTTTCTGAGCTTGGATAGTTGTTTCTGGGATTATTTAGTTTTTTTAGAATTTAATGTTACCATCCTGTCAGTGCTCACGTTGCCTTTATCACCACATGAAGCCAAACTAATGGTGTAAGCAACAATCAGTAAAAGAGGAGAGTGATTAGTCAGCCTCCTAGCACTCATCTGCCAGTTCAAATTCTGTTCCTCTTCTACAATTTCTGGTGCTCCCTAAATAGTCATATGAAAGATTAATAAATAACAAAGACGCTGGATTTGGCCAGAAAAGAAAACAAAAACCTAAAACCTCCTGAAACTTAGGACAGCTCTCTGTAAAATAGAGCTATTAAGCACCAGGCAATTTTAGGCTTGAGGCTTAAGACTTGCCTAAGAATTTGTCCATTTGACTTCTCTGTGCCACAGCCTCACATACTGATTTAATACTGACATTTCAAGGACTCATCTCTCTGTGTGTGAATTTTAAGAAATCTGTCTGAAAAACAAATGGTGTTTAGTTTACATTAACATGTTTTTGTTTTCCTTTAAACATTCTTTTTCTGGTCACAGCGAAGCAGCAAGACTGAGAATTCCCAGTGACTGAAGAACAGCTTATTGAGATGGTGGGAACTGGAGAGGGAGCCATTCAACAGAAAACTGTTTCAAAGTCACTCCTGTACAAACCAACCTGGGCGCTGCAGAGAGAGAGAGCAAAGGACTTGCACTATTGTTGTTCAGTTTTATCTCCTGGTCGTTGTTCAGGTTTGTCCCCTGGAACAAGTTACTCAGGCCAGCCACTCTTCCCTTCTGGATGGCACGCAGCGATTGCCGTCGGTATTCATCCCGCGCCCTGCGCGCTTTGTGGCTTCTCTCCTCATCTGCAGCCTTGGAGCGGCGCACTGGGTGGAACGAATGGGGAGGTTGGGGAGGAGAGACTTTAGAAAGACAAACAGCCATTTACTTACTCCTTTCCTTACAGAACAACTAACTACCTTTATTCCTATATGACCTGGTTTTAAGGATGTATAAATTACAATGCATTGCACCAAAGGCTGGATGACATTCCTGGTGCTTCAAATACAGCTCTACCACTAGAAGAAGACAGCCAGACTCGAGATATCAATGATCTGATCACTACTGGCAATAACTGAGCCTCTAACATACTGTGATTACATCTGACCTTGCTTTGGCTGTAATAAGAGAAATTCTGCTTCAGGACATCTTTTCCATTGGCACTGCATCAAGTTCTATGTTCCAAGAAAGGATTTTAATTGCTGCTTTAAATTAAGTTTGGGTTTAACAGAATTCTTTGCCTCTATGAACATAAGTAGAATTGAAGGAGGTACTCCCAAAATTTACAATTATTGAAACTAACAAGTAGGTTGCATTTTCTGTCAGTGTTGTTTTCTTTCTGAAAAGCATATGCTATCTTTGTCACAGTACTTGTAGTCACAGAAGTTTCCTACTCAAAAATTCAGCCTAAAAATGGTTTCATCAGTAACAAAAGATAAATTAGTAACCATTGGAAAAGGCATGCTGATGCTATGGTTGGGGTTGTCTCACACTTCAGTCTCTGAAATTGTATATAAAGAAAGAGAATCTCTATTGAAAGATTTAATACACACCTAACAATGGCAATGACCAGGGAGTTACCCATTTCTACAACCTGAAATGAGGGTTGCTGTTCCAGCCACTGCAGGTCAGGTATCTTTTACTAAAGTTTCTTCATTTTTAAACTAATGTACTAACAATCCTGTCTTTGAAATGGTATAACTTAAATGCACCAAGAATTGTATTGCAAATACTCGTCATGTATCAGCTCTTTTCTGGTGCCTCAAGCCCCATTTAGATGATTTTTTGAGTCACAAATAACTGCAGGCAGGCAAAATTTTCCAATGCAAAACAAACCCTTAACATCCAGTGAAGCAAATACTAAAGAAGCTAGCTATTGCCTCCAGTAGCAATTAGCAATCCTGCCATGACTATCCTGCCTTAGATCATACCCAGTTCATAAAGTGCACACGCTATTTCTTACTCCACTGTGACTGTACCTGTGACTAGGAATGCATGATATAACACAGTTGCATTTCATTAGGCTGTTTGCATCCCTCTGGTTTACACTCCCAATTTAAAGCAAGCAGAAATATAAATCGATTTGTCCAAATTATGAGAAGGTGTATTGGAATCAAGCAATAAAAGCACTCAAAGCCAAATGAAATTAAATAAAACCTTGTGGGCAAATGAGAGAAAGAGAAAAGACCTTTAAGCTTAGATTTATATAATATTATCATAAGTAGAAAGATATATAGAACTGAAAGCTCATCAAGATAGCATAGTAAATGAGTCATAGATGCTTCACATGTATACAACTGGCAGGATTTCAGTTTCACTTAACCACATACCCTGTATTTTGAGATAAACCAAGTAACAAACAATTGTATAGCACAGAAAACATGAGTAACAGACTTCACTATTTATTTCACAGGTCATCATTTTTAAGGGTAGATAATGTCATTTAAATACGCTACTTCAATGGCTCGAGTATATTAGCTACAACATTTCTTTGATTTATCCCTTGTAAAAGCACTCAGTAATGGCCACATTAAACATGAACTTTGTGTTTGCAGCACGAGGAGAGACTGCAAGGAAGATGAGTGCAATGCAACTCGGCAAGGCATTTAGAAACCGGTCATTGCCACAATCACAATATACAGATTGAGGGCAGGCTGCCTGGAGATTCATGGGATTCTTTTCTACTGATGTACAGGCTGCCTGGCAATGAAAAAAGCAAACTACCTTCATGCCCCACTTTCCTCAGCAACAGACACTCTTTTCAACAGACATTCCTACTGTATTTTTGCTCTCTAATAAATCTGTACCATCAGAAGCTGATGACTTGGGCTACATTTTCCCAAACTGTAAAGCTTCTTATCACAAAACTATGGGGAGAGGTAGCACAGTTTGCAACTGTTAAATACCAACATTTCAACTTCCAGAAAACCTTTGGATTGTATGTATTTGTATTTATGAACATATGCATGCATGTACATATGTGTTTGTGTCTGTATATATGTCAGGATGGGGAAGGCTATATACAGATTTTTAGATTTATATCTATATATTTATATAGTCATGTCTTTCCCATTAAGAAGAATTTTTATTGAAATTTCCCAGGTGAGGTATCTGAAGAATTCTATCACTGACCATAGGGATGCATAGGGTCTCTCAATCCCATTTTTTCTCATTACTGGAGTCCTGACCTTCTCCCTCTCCCATTCCTTACAGTTATTCCCTGAAACATTCCTCTCTTTCCCCTATCTTTCAAAGTCATCCAGAACAGCTTCTACTGTGAACCTGCTTTGCTATGTTATCCTAAGTTACTTTTAAAACTCTGACTTGTCAAGGGACTTTGCAGGCAAATAATCAAAGCCACTGGCACGAATAACTGGTTTTGGTGACTGGAAATAGTATCGTGGATAAAGCCATTGCAGTCAGGAACCTGCAAAAAGGTTTTTCACTACACTCCAGACAAAGTAATGTGTGTCACATGAACCATCCTCCCATACTGACACTTCCCACCAGTTTCTCTATCTTGAGAATGTCACTCAAAGTCTGAAGGTAAATCTGGACTCTATTTCTGTACCAGATTTTTCTTATAATAGAATTTTGTGAATCTTCATATTTCTGTCTTTGGCTCTGAACCATCTCACTAGGAATAAGAACTTTATGTCTGGATCAAGTCTAGCACAAATATTTTAAGATAGAAAAAGCCAAAATTCTGCATTACTTGTATTTTGAGAGACATCATAGCCTTTCTCACAATAAGAAAGCAAAAGTAGTCGGGACTTCTAGTACTCCCTTAAATAGGAACAGGTTATTGTTCTTAACTGGCTGTCCTTTTACAGTAAATGTACTTCTGGCATGACCCCTGTGCAAAACACTAAATTCAATAGTCAGTGTTTTCACTAGGGAGATTAGATATATGAAAAAAATCTTACAATCTTTGAATCATCACCACAGGTCCATATATCTAGCATCAAGACTTATATCAATAATAATTTACATATTTCTTATCTTCCTTTTATATTACAGAATAATGTAAGCACTGACAAGACAGGAAAACGAGGAATTTGTTAAGCTCCCAGGAAACCTACAGTTCAGGCAGGCCCTGTAAGACCAGCTCCAACACCAGTTTTCTCTTCCAGTGTTGATGATACCAACAGGTACATTTTCCTTCAGCACTTGCAAAATGAAGCACACTTCTGTCCTGATGGCACTGTAGCTTCTGTAGAAATGCCTGAGCTGCTCATATAGGTTAGGTGTCAATATGACTGCAGCTTCAGTAGAGCAGGCCAAAAATGGGTTACCAAACCCTCCTGGAAAACTGGCAAATATATCCAAAACAGTTATCAGTATTAGAAATGAATAGTTTAAAGCCAGCTCAGGCACATCTACATGATCTGCAGTGTGAACATACTCTCCACAACAGAGAACAAACCACAAGTGGTGTGTGCAACAGCTCTTATAATCCTAGAGGTGTTTTCCCTGAAGAGTTTGTGGAAATCTATTATTCCTCTATGCTATCCTAAGTTGTCTTTTGAGCAAAAATGCAAGATTGCCTTCTAAATTTTCAGTTTGGATTGGTAAATCGCTATTAGCAGTACTGGCAAAGTTCTAATACCAAATTTTTGATATAGATGAGGATTAATTCATGCTGCACTGCACATGATCACATAACTTGTGAAAGACTAGGAACTCTCTATTTTCTGCAATCTATTTTGTGCTTTTGAAGAGCTATGACTTGCAGTCAGACATATGTGAAAGCAGAAAACAACATGTGCTATGATTATACATCCTAATTTTTAAATTATTTTGTTTTGGTTTTACACTCTTGTTAACAATTCTTGGAAGCTTGTTTATGAGCAATTCAAAATGACTACTTAATAGATAAAATTCAATCTTCAGATTTTCGTAGTGCACAGACAAATCACACAGTGGTATTTTGCCTTTCCTAATTGGAAAATAACTTTTCACAAATACTCTGCAATATGGCTCCAGTTCAGCAATTTTTATCTGAAAGTATTTGAATAATCCCATTCCTATTCAACAACGCACTCTGAGACCTATTGAAGTTCAGAGGGTACATACTTTATGTTAAGCACTTGCTTAGCTAATGTATAGCTGAACTGGGGACTACTCACTTCAAAATTCAGCATTTTGTCAAATGCTCCTGCCAGTAAACTCACTCTCTTGTGTTTCTGTGGAAGATAAGTACCAAATGAATTCCTTTAAAAGCCAGGCAAAAAATATATTCATAGACACATTTGCAGAAGAACATAAAAATATAACAATATTAAAGAAGCTATAATGAGTCAGCCTGGTATTCTACTTCCAACAGAGACCAAAAGTGGGTGCTTGGGGAAAGGCATAAGAATAGATCAACTCACTCATCTCTGTTTACATTTTTACTGGAATAATTTTTGTCTGCAGATGAGTAAAGTTGGTCAGATGGTATCTGAGCACTTCACTGCTTGATGCAGCTTGCAGGGATTTGTAACTGTACTAACAGAATGCTTTTTGCAACACCCAAACAGATGAATATTAACTCTACAGTTTTTTTCTATTATGTTTTGCACATTCCTCTTCTGCTTTCACAGGGAGAGGTCACTTTTAAATACCCCAGAAACATAAGAAATGGAACAGCCCACAGAAAGGTCCAAAACTAATCAGAATGTGTACCCTCCTCTATCATAGCTTAGCCTTAGTTTTCTCACTTCTCAGTCTCAAAGAATTAGAGTTCTGAACAGTGGACTCTGTGAATCAGTCTTTTCCATTATTCTCATTTTGCCAACCAATATACTTGTTCCACTTATTAACTCACAACTACCTTCTAAAATAACCCAATATATATCTATTATATGAAATCAAAGTGTATAATTGCTCTTGCAGCATCATATTTCCCCTTTAGTACTGATTTCTCTAGTTATTCTACATTTGTCATTTACTGTACTAAAAAGCATTCAAATTATGTATTTCAATTAACACAGCAGTTCTATGGGCCTTTATTGTTATCTGGCAAACAGCAGAAGCAAACTGAGCCAAACAACAGAAACTAATATTAGCAACACTTTGCTTATTGCCTTGGCAATAAACAGCTGAGGGATAATGTGATGAGGAGAGATGAATCCTCATCACATTCTAAATTCCATCTACTAAATAAGTTAGTGGTGTCATCAATATCATTGCTACATTTGCTCTCCACAATAGCTGCTCAGGCACTACTGTTCCTGTGCAGTACTGACCCCCAGCACCGCTGAACACAAAGGGTTGACTTCAAGGAGCTAAGATCCAAAGGAGTCTGGCCCTGTTCCTAATGAGCAGCATGGTTCCCACTGCAAGTGTGTAGAGGCAAAAGATGTAAATATTACATCTGCTTGTAATCCTCTTATGCATTCATGCATTTATTTAATGCTTTAAAAAGATGACTATTGGATAGCTTTGCCTGACTTCAGTAAGTTTCCTCTTGGTGTTCCATAGGTACCTGTGGACAAAAATGGAAGGATAAAAAAGAAAACCCTCTGGAACGGAAATAAAGACTGAGAAATCTGGTGAACCTGAGGTACTAATTAATTCCGCAGCAATTTCAGATGCTCCCATTTCCAGATATTTGCTACTGGCGGTCTGCTAAACATTCTGTCTTCTGCAGTAAAGTTAAGGAAATGAAAGATGTTAATATTGCTGAGGAAGCTCAATGCAAAGTCTGACAGCATGGTTTAAACTGGTCAGCAACTGGTGTGAGATAAGGCACTAAACACTCCATATCTTCAGTTGTCACACCCATTTGCTAATGGAGAACAATTCTAAGCCCTCAAACCAACTGGGATGAATGCAGACACTGAGATAAGCATAAGAGGATAAACAAGGATGTGCTACACTCCAGTCATTAGTCTGCAGTTAGTTTAATGCTAAATCAATTACTGATAACAGCATAAACTCTGGCAGCGCAGCATTTATAGTAGGCTGCAAATCCCAGCTGTGGTGCCAGTACAGAAGGTGCTGAGCTGTTGTCCCCCATGGCAGCACTACTATTGGTGACCAGGCTCAACAGCTTGAAATCAGGGGAGCTGCCCTTGGTCACCTTTAGGATAAGCAGACAGGTCTGCAGGTATCAGGGCACAGAGGCTGAGGGTGATACAATTCTTTCAGAGCACACAGAATACTTCAAAGTTTACATAAGAAAGGAGTATTGGTGGCAGACTACACCCAGCAGGTGGTGCAGTCACAAGTGTTTTGACAGAACAAAAACGCCAAAATCTTACATAGCTTATTCCTTTCTCTGTATTCTCTCATAATTCCTCTATTGCACTACTGATGTCTGTCCCTGTACAAAGAGTGCTACATGAGAAATCAGAAGCAACAATTTAAGACCTCAGTTACCTCTTTAATGCAAGGAAGAATACCTGGTTTCAGTAGTCTTTATAGTATTTTGGTTTATTGCCAATTTCAGTGTAAAGATAGACTGGATTTATTTTAATTTTATTTTTTTGACAACATGATTGTAAATGTATTTTTTTCCTTATACACCATCAAAGAAATGCTAAACTACTAGCACTAATCTCTATGCCGAGTTGACAGGTAACACTAATTTTCTACAGAACTAAAGGGTTACTTTTCCCCAAACTCATTCTGCTCTTAAATACCTAAAATACATAAATCTACAGTTTTAGTTTCCATATAAATATATACAACCAGATCTAGATAATTCTCTGGGAAATAATTACCTTCTCTTTATTGACAGTGTAATATACAGTGGTTTTATTGACCAAAAAAAACATGGCCTGTTATGAGCTTAGAAAATGGTACCACTGTATCTTATATAGATTTAATTCATGTTGTACAAATTACTCACTATCAGATCAATTCTAGGTAATAACACTTCAATAATTAGTCCTTAGGAACTAATGAAGTGATGACTAAAACCATAAAATAAACTCATTGTATATTTTGAACAATTTTTCTACCCCGTAAGGAAATAAGTAACACTACAGCAATATTTTTTTTCTATTCCCTGGGGTATTTCTTGCACGACATATCAGCTCCCTAAAACTCCATTTTTATTATTAGTTGATTAACTTTTGTGTTACATATAATTACTACAATAACCCCACAGGAGCTAATACTTTCCAGTCATTACACTTCCTTTTTCTGCAGAGTAATCAAATCAGTATAGGTGTGAGAAATGGAAAACATTCTTCCCCCACCAAAAAAATGCATAATTCTTCTTGCAAACAAATTTCCTACTTCCAAAGCCAACTGTACAATAGACACCAGATAGACAGATACTTCATTCACAGTAAGCTATTAAACATCATTTATTCATAATGCGGACCTTTCCTTATTTACAGTGTGAATGTATACATATATAGTAATATAGTTGTTCTGCTCCTTGTAGGGTTTTAAAAGTCACTAAAAAAAATTAAATTAATCACAATTACGATAGTTATAAAGAATTTCAAGGTGTCTAAAAAGGAACAGTACCTCTGTGAGTGAGATCACCATCATTAGAATTATTTTTTTTTAGATCAACAATCTAAGTATTATTTACTGTAACCTTTAGGAATGAAGCACTGATATCATAGCTTCATGCAGTTACCATGTAGAAGCAATTAAAATACAGATGAAGATGGATTTTACCTCCTCAGAGATAGCTATGGACATGCTGTCAAAATAACCGTGTCCTAAATTATTACTACTAAGCCAAAACTGTTAATTAAGTACATTAGAAAAAAAATGAATGATCTCAGTCATTGTGCACAAAAGATTTTCTGTAAGGTATTGAAATGGATTCAGAAAGAAATATGAAACTTCTGTTTATAAAGTTAAGCTGATAATCTCTGCCAAAATAATACAACTTTTTGTATTGCTCTAGGTAGAAGAGGTTTTTGGCAACACCTTTTCCATCCTACAAGTTTCCCTTTGTTTGCTTTCAGAAATACATCAATCCTGTGAAGGTAATTTACTCACACTGTTCTTCCCACTCCTGGTCATCGTCGCTGTGCTGACTGTGCTGCTGAGCTTGCTTGAGGCTCAGATACAACTCCTTTGCTCGGATTTCTTCCTGCTGCCTGATTTGTTCTTCACCCTTTTGTCTCTCCTCTTCTTCTCTTTTCTAGGCAAAATGAAGTAAGCCACAAGTGACTAAAGAGGAAGAATGTGCCCAAAGCTGGGACGCTGCTTCAGCTGCTTCCTGTGATAGACTAGCTGCATTACCCTTGGACAAATCCCTGTCTCTTCTAAACTTGGGGCTTTCACATAACACAACAGGCATAATTGAAGTTTCCTACCTCTTAGGAGGGTGTGTTTTGAGATGGTCAGCTATCGTAGGAATGAGGAATATGAAAGTATCTAAAATCTGAAAACTGTATGGAAAAATGTTTTATCACATGACCCCAAAGTCTGTATTATCCTACAATCCATAAGCAAAGCTTCTTTTAAGTCCACATGTAACTCCCACTGAAGATACTGCTGTATTCAAGCACTACAGAATCTGTAGAATTCAGTAACTCATTGCATTAGAACCAGCAATAGCTGGGCACAGGAAAAAAACCAAAAACCACAAAACCCAAACAAAACTCCATGATTACTTCAAACTGGAAAAGAAATTTCCAAATCTACCAAGACATTCCATCAATCAGCTGAGCTGATGTATTTGAACAAACATTTCTTAGGTTTGTACTGGTAATTTTTTTCTCTTAAGACTTGGTAAATGCAAATTCTGAAAATTAGGATCAAATGGGATTCCTCCTGCTTTCAAAGGGAAATCAGACATGTTTACCTTCTACTGTATAATATTAGTACACTGTGAACTTTATGAGAGGGTATATTTTCTAAGTTTGAAAACAAACTTTCACCACAGCAGGACCCACAGCATGACCAAAACAATCCATAGTCTATTTTAAGTACTACAAATATGAGTGGAGAGAAGAGATTTAAAAACTGAGGCCAAAATCTGACTTCTATGATTCTCTAAACTTAGTCTGTGGGTTCAGTAGATGCAAAACTGAGCTTTCATCTTGTTGTTCATAATCCTGCAAAAATTAACTTGCACTTTTTTTTTTCTATGTAGGTTCTTCTGTTCAGGCTTTAAAGATGGTACTTACCTGAAAGTTTTTGGTATAATTTTGCAACTTTTTAGGCTGAAAGGGGCTGAACTATCCAAAAACTATATTAATTCTACAAAAATATGTATTAATTAACACTTCCCTGCAGTAAATATTTTTTATTTGATAACACATTGGAAAAATCCTCATTCAAAAGCTGTCTGTCCTATCTTAACAACTGCCGGGGCACAGACAACAAAAGGCAACCCAAATATAGTACTATGAATGTTCAAACAATGGTGTTTGGACAGGCTGAGGAAGTTGAGGCTGCTCAGCTGGAAAAGAGAAGGTTGTGTGGAGACCTCACAGCAAATTTCCAGTACACGAAGGGGGCCTACAGGGAAGCTGGAGAGGGACTCTTGTTTAGGAACTGTAGTGATAGGACAAGGAGTAATGGTACAAACTGAAAGAGGGGAAATTTAGGCTGGATATTAGTTAGAAATTCCTTACTATGAGGGTGGTTAGACACTGGAACAGGTTGCCCAGGGAAATTACGGATGCTCCATCCCTGGCAGTGCTCAAGGCCAGGTTGGACAAGGCTTTGAGTAGCCTGGTCTAGTGGAAGTTGTCCCTGCCCATGGCAGGGGTGGTGGGGACCAGATGACCTTTAAAGTCTCTTCCAACCCTTAATATTCTATGATTCAAAGAACAATACATCAGGTTGCTCTTACTTCTGAGAAATAAAATCCTAGTATTGTTTTTCAGTCAAATTTAATGCTAGTATCTTTGATTATTTCTAAGATCATCCTTCCACTGTTATCTCTGGAGTCCTAAGAACATGAATTGAGTGGACAGGTCATGATTTTTGAAAAGTCAATTATTTTAGATATCACTGATTTTAAAGCCCAGCAGCTTCCTCAGAAAAAAAAAAAAAGAAATAAAATTTTAATATCCCTATAGAGTTAGTGATTCCATATTTCAGTTGCTAGTAAATGGTTTTGTTCCCTTCTTGGAAAAAGTATGAGATCAGCTATTCTTTATTCTTATGAGGAGAATATTTATTTACTTAGCTTCACTACCTAAAACAATTCAATACATCTAAGCTATCTTTTCAGGAAGATGGACAGACACAAGGGTAATCCTGGGTTATCAAAATGTTTTATATTCAACCTCTCAAACCACGAGGTAAAATTTAATATAGAGGAAGGAGGAAAAATCAATCTCACAGCAGTTTCCCTGAATCACACAGAGTTTTGTTATAAGTTTGGGGTTGTTTGTTAATGTAGCTATAATTGAAGCATTTCTAGTAAAAAGATGAAGTGTGTAGAGAAAACCAAACAAACAAAAAATACAAACTGGAAAAAAAAAAACCTCCACCAAAAACTAGAATTCAGATAGAGTTTGAGTTCTTAATGGAAAGCAGAATGCCTACCAAGAAAATCCTACCTCCTTTTTTTTTTTTTTTTTTTCTGAAAAGAGGAAGGTTTTAGTCAAAGAAGAGACAACTTAACTAGAAAAACTTAATACTGGTACTTGATTCTGAATTCACCAAAACTTCATCATATAATTTTTCTTCCTAAAGAAAGTTTTAATTTATCTTTATTTAATTAGTGCATGGATGCACATGCAAGTACATTGTACAACTCCTTAAAGGTGTGTGAGAAGAAACAACCCTTGCTAGAGTGACACAGGAAAGAACAGTGATCCTTTGGTCAAGGATGATTAAATAGTGTGTGTATTTACAATGAACAACAACTGGACTTCTCACATTTACTCTACTGGAAGAACACAGCAAACCATTTATTTGCTTCTCCCCGTGAACTCAATCCTGCACATCAGAGCTGAGAGCAAAGAGCTGTAATAACCTACAAACATCACCTTCTGCCTGACTGCCGAGAGAGATTGTACTCTGTGCCGTGTCCCTTTCAGCTCCTCCAGAATAATTAGGAAGCTGGCAATTCAGTACAGAGTGGCAAATTGCCAAGAAATACCAACCTGAAGAAACAAATCACAGTGACAATTCAACAGACAGCAGTAATCCTCTCAGGTATTAACTCCACTGGAGAATTTGAACATGCTAAATGGTCTTATCTATCCTCTGGCAGTTGAGAATTTACCACAAACTTATTACTGTCTATGTGTGCCTCACTGTGTTCGATAACTTTGCTATGGACAGCTCTAAGTAACATTTAATATTAGCCATGGTTAGGTTCTAATGTTTCAGTCCAAGGCAGATGAGAGGAGATTAGGTCAGCATTTAGTTTTTGCTGCAGAAAGATTTAAAACATACACCGAGGAAGAGCCAAAATAGAGTAGTGGGTTTTTTTACAATGGAAAACTGGGCTCCTGGCTGCCTTGGGTCTTGGGGTCTCTCTGGGGAGTCTTACAGGGTGCAGGGCAGCTGAATGACCAGCACCTGGCTCAAGGCAAAGCCCATAAGGTGATTTTTGTTGCAACAGTCCTCTCTGAAAAAAGGATGCCTGGTATTCCCTCAGTGCTTCAGGCTGGCAAGAAGTATCTTTGGCAGCCCTGAAAGTTACAACTGCTGTGAATCTCCTGAACCCACTTAATAATCACCCCTGTGCCGGGGCAGGCATTCAGGCTACCTGCCACAGAGCTGAGGGCCCTTAGGACTCCCTCCTCTGAAGAAAATCTGGCAATCCCAGGGTGCCCAGCTGCAGGACAGCTGCTCTCAGGAAGGCTGGCACAGCTGGCTGAGTTCAAAGATCAGACTGCCCTGTAAACCCACCTGACAGTTTTCAACAGAGCTGTGAGTGAGTAATGGCAGAAATATGTCCAACTCCTTCCCAGCCTTTTCCTGACAAAATTCTCTCACTTGCATCAGAAAAGAAAGAGTTTGCAGAGGCATTATTTTCTTCTCTGCTACCAGTGTCTCAGAAAGGAACACAGGGTTTGCATCACTTCACTGTGCAAGTATTTGCATAGAGGCAAATGTAGTAAATGCAGCCATGCTTTATGCAGAAGAAGCATACGGATATACCCCAGGACATGCTATTCACACCTGTCTCATGCGAGGAAGCAACAACATACTCTGGTTCACAAAGACTCTCTTTTCAATGAGCTAAAAACAAAGCTAAGGACTGTTCCTAGTTGGGAGAGATCTGACATCTACTACATACACTGCAGCAGACTCTGTCTGAGTAACTTGTTATAATTCTAGTGAACATCTACTAAAAGTTTGTCTCTGGATCTTAGGGACTACTCCCAGCTTGAGTTCCTAACCTGCAAACTATCCTCCTTAGTGGTTCAGATTTTCCTATTCACTCATGAAAAATACCAAAGCTTTGCTAATTTTTACGAGCAATCCAGAATAAAGACAGTGGTTTCAGCAATGCAGTCATTACTGATGTCACCAGGGAAGAGATTTTTCTTTAAAATTAATATCACAGGTCCTCACAAGGAGGATAGAAAACCTGAAGGCCCAGTTCCCAACTGTAACTAACAGCTGCCTCATTTCCAACGTTGTTCAAGAGACAACTGCATAGAAAAAAAAAAGAATTTCTGAACTGCGGTCTCACAAAAGAAAACAAAATGAAATATTACTGAATTATTGTAATTACCACTGAAATAGCCCAACTAAGGCATTTTCAGAATGAAATGGGTGCCAAATCTCAGCAAGAAGCTGTTGTCATACTCCTAGATTCTAAATATGCTATGTTTGGGAAAGAGCTCAATGTTTTCTTGGCACAGCAAAGCACAGAGCTGAACTTACAGCTTATTTGCACTTGAAGACAACAGTCCCACTCAAGCGCTTGACTTTTATCGGAGACAGTTTTCAGATCAGGACAGAATGCTCACTGCTGCATCATAAGGAGCCCACAGTACTGCAAGTGGTGGTGATATTTTACTTTATTCATAAACTCTACACCTGGCAGTTGTCTGAAGAAAAAGGTCCACAGCTCTTTGGGGCACAGTAAAGCCCTCAGACATGGGTTGAAAGCTCATCCAAGTCAATAGGACTGAAGTGTGTTCTTTCTATTAGGCATAAGTTTAATTAGAGATTTCCTGAATTGAAGCACTAATTATCCTGTTCTTCTCTAAAGGTTGATTCTCAACCTGTCTTCTTTGAAGAGACATATTTCATCTCCCAGAGAATTTTTAAGAAGCAATCTAGCTCTGCTGTCAGCTATGCTTATATTATTAAATTTGGCAGGTATCTGATGTTGTCATAAGGACAGTACTTTACAGTTAATATTGTCTTGCTTTATATAGACCACATGAAGAGTTGAGAAATCAACTCTCTTTTAATTCTAAATGTAGCTGAAGGATACCACTCGCCCCTGGCTGGCTGACACTCACACCTTTAATTTTCCTTAGCTCTGCACATTGTTCAAGACTCCTAATGACAGCTACTGATAACAGTAGAAAATTATGCTTATGATCTCATAGCCTTTGTGAATTAGCAAAAAGATTAATGACAGTAATTGGCTTTCTTATTTGTCCTTTGCAATAAGTGCATAAAAGAATAGCTGTCCTTAAACTGCAAAAATAGAGAAGTCAACATTTATATTCTAGCATCATAAATTAAAGGTATTTCTGCTTAAGAAACACCAAGGAAAGCAATAATTTTCTAATAGTGTTGGAAAAGGAAATAGGGAACATCATTCACTTTGATATGTGAGATATCATTTATCTAGTGCAGACAGCCCTAACGTCCCATGATAGGTCAAGAGGAATAAAAGCATTTTAAAAAGGAGTGTTTGTGATACAATATGGTTAGAAATTAAACAGTCAGCAAGAGAGGACAGAGTTTCACTTTCCCAAGTCAAAATGCCTCAAGAGGGTGAAGCATTAGCAGAGACTGAACTTTTCATAGCCCAGTTTGGAGACCTCTTTAAACATGGTCAGGTCATCATCGCAGAAGGATGATTATCAAGACACTAAATATTTTAAACCTGTTAAAGTGGGTTTGCTAACTGATCTGCATCTCATTCTACACCCATTTCTTCATTATTTCAATTACTGAAGTTATACATGAGTAGATTCAACAATTCATCTTTTTGCCAGTACCTTAATTCTACTCCCTTTCTGTAGTTGGATGTGGATGCCAGAAACATGCCTTTCTTTTCTTGTCTGGTACCTATCCACTCATTCAGCCTGTAAATATTTCATGTAGCTCTTCCACTGCACCAGAGTAGTTATAAAAACAGCAAAATGGGAAGGAGAAAGAAAGCCAAGTGAGATTAAATAAGCCAGTGGACAGAAAAACTAACAAGTCCCCCACGTGAGCCTGTGACATTCACCTGTCTTTGAAATGCCTTTACTGTCTTGAAGTAGTTCTACAGCACAATGTCCAAGATCTGCTCTTTCAAGACCAAGTAAGAGATAAGTTGCTTTTCTGAGTAGCAAAGGAGTGGCATTAAAGTACCAGGAATCAATCCTGCATTTGAATCTCTGCTGGTGGAACCCTATGTCAGTTCAAGTCTCTCGTAACACATCTCAAATTATAGACCTAATTGAAGAGCCAGGGCTGAAAGTGGAATTAGCCTATGTTGTTGTATTAATATAGGAAATGCCAGGAGCACACTCAATAAAGGGGCATTTTAAAAACACCCACTTTATCAAATCTTGTTTCCAAACTAACTTTTTAAGCCACAGAGTTCATTTCTGCTGAGTCTTGTTTTAAAAATTTTGTTCTGCTTATTTACATTTTTTGAAAATATGATCTACAAATGCTTGATTTAAGTGGAACCAGAGGGGAAGAAGGGGTTTCTGTTTCTTTGATAAGACAAATATATTGGCACCTTTATGAACAGACCTAAAGAAATCCCGGCCAATGTTTAGTATTTGAAATTCAAAGTAGAAATTTAATCATATTCTCAACCCAGTTACAGCAGCGCTCCTTGCACCTACCAAGCACACAGTTGGATGGAGGACACCTGCTCATGTCCTGAGAAACAGTGGGAACACGGAAGACTGTGACATTACCTTTCTATCAATATGAAAATGAGTAGATTTTAGTGCCATTACTGTTAATTGTATCAACAACTGAACGAGTTTTCCTTAATAGAAAAGTATGGATACTGGCCACGAAAAGTCTCAGAAGTTTCTCAGTCTCCTTTTTAGAAAAGTCTCTTTGAAACAGAGTAGTAACAGTGAGCTTATGGACATTTACCCCATTGAGTGCCCTGTAAATCAACCACAGATATATAAGTGAAACTGTATCAGCCTTTGTTCAAGAGGGCTTTGCTTTCCAGAGAGCAGAGGAAAGAGAGTTTAATTAGTTGCTCTGCTCATTATTCATATATTAATAAAGCACTTGAAAGGTATAGTTTCATTACTCATTGACATCGAATTTCAAAGGCCTCATTCTCTCCCGTGAATTCAAATTAATTGTGCAAAGTTAAATCAGCAACTCTGTGCAGAGGAGGCTGCAGGAACCGCCCTGGCTTTGTGCTCCACAGCCACCCTCAAATCCCAGGCCCACAGTTTACAGTGACAAGTACCTTGTTGACTTCAGTTAGTAATCAAACCATGTAAATTTAAACACTGAGCTTTTTCAGCATACCTCCCACCCCAGAGGGACAAAAGGAAAGTCTATCCACCCTTTCCACACCTTTAATCACTGAGCCAGAAAAGGAAAGGAGAGACATAGCAAGCTGTCAGCAGGGGAGAGGCATGTAGATGGAAGTTACTGCATGCAGATCTCCTAGGAGTCATATTTTGCTACAGACTTTCTCCATGGAAACCCAGCCTCACCAATCGTGTGCAGTCCCAGTGTGCACATCCCAGGACTCAGAGGACTGTGCTAATTTCTCTGCACGCTGAACCAATTGTATTTTGTTTTCTCATTTTTAAACATGGTTTCATCTTTATCAAGTAATATGAAAAGAGTGGAAAGAGGTCATCTTTTCCTGTTTAGTTTTCAAATTTATATTTTCAACAAGAAAATGTGAAAAAAATATTATTTCAAACAAACATTAAAACACTGTAACTGAGTTCATGGAAACTTCATTATGAAGTCGATAAAAATCAGGCAAATAAACTTCTCCTAGCAAAGCCAACCGGACCTTTCCCATACTTTGAATAGGAGAAGGATCCATCCCTTATTATTTTGAAGAAAGTAGTGACACAATTTTCGAGTTCAATACATGAACAGTTTATCCAAAATACACAGAATATGTTCAAGCAAACTAACTCAAAAGGAGGTATTTCGCAATTTTTCGGATGTTTTTTCCCCCAGTATGATTCACCCAGCACAGCTGACTGAACAATTCTGTTAACGTGTGAGCTGAATAACCAGTTTGATTGTTCTGGCACTTCTGAATGAGGCTTGTAATTTTTTCTCATCACTCATCCAGCTGTTCTGGTGAGCACCATGTAGCTGTCTGTACATTCCAGAATGAAAAATTACAAGTCTGGATTTTAAAGCTTATTAATAAACATGCACTGAAGGTGACTAGAACTTTGAATCTATATTAAAACACCATGAAAAGAATTAAATTACTCTATGCAGACCTTCAATTCCTCCTGAATTTTTTCTTCCTCCAATTTGGCTGCTTTCCGATCCTCTGTTTCTATTTTCCATTTTTCTGCCACTATTCGGGCTTTTTCTTGAGCCATAGCATCCCGGAATTTCTTTGTAATTTCAGCTTCCTTTTGTCTCCTTCAAAAAAGATGGGAAAATTATTTAAACCACTGATTATTTTTTAAATTGAAGATCAATACTTACTCACTAGTTGCAAAAAATAATTAGCATAAGACTTCATGGAATTACACAAGGAAAGAAAATATATTTAACAGGAGATCTATCACAAATCAGATTTGAAGAAACTATACAGAAAGTAGACAATTTACAATTTTTTATAAATGACTAATCAAAATAACACATTCTAAATTAGACAAGTACTTCCTGGATGTCTTTGACCTTATTTTTTAATGTCCCTGGCTGCAAAAAATAGATTTTTCTGACACTTTTTTCTAGCAAAGCACGATCGGGAATTTATTGTCTTTCAAATACCAATGCAAATGTCTGACAAATTCTTATGCTAGACTGTTTATTAGTACTGACAATGTAAAAGGAATGCAGAGCACAGGTTGAGTGCCTTTAATCCCTGCTTCAATATGCAATCACCATAAGCAAAGAAGAATCTCCTACAAAAAGGGATAATGTAGAATAACCTGATATTTAAACTGTCACTTTTCAGTGATGCACTAAAGGAACTGTGTGACACAGGCGGCCTACTTCCTAACAATATCAAGCATCAAAACATTTTTGAATCTCTCCCAAACCTGGGAAAGGCCCTGCTGGAAACAGCAGCATGGCACTTCGCATAATCAGTTTCTGAACTGCCAGAATAAGAATTAATGCAAGCAAAATGCAAATAAAACCAATTTTGAAAAGGATTTTATGTACCAAATCCCCATTGTGGGCTCAGATTTGTGATACAACAAACATATTAAATTTAATTATCTCAGAACCAGATTGTTTCATTTTTCTTTATTTACAGATTGGTCGATGGTTTAGCAAAATTCCCCAACAAGGAAAACAGTTGTTTTTTTGTTTTTTTTTTTTTTTTTTGTAAAAAGGGCTTTTTGTTTTTCAGTATTCAAAAAAACAACAAAATTACATTTTGTACATGCTGAAAAACTGCCAAAACAAGTGAAAGCCAACGTTCACAAAACATACTTACCAGTTCTACCCACCATTACCTGCAACCTTTCTACAAGGTCATGGCTCCCATTATGCCAAGCAGGACCCTGAATTCAGTGTCATAAATCCTCACCATAGTTCTTCTGCCTCCCTCTGGGCCTGCTGCCTGGCTCTCTCTGCTATGAGCTCCTCGGATATCTGCTCGTAGGGCTTGTCACCTGGGGCTTCTCCCATCACCCAGACCCAGACCTCACCATCCTTCCCACGCAGCCACTGCACGCGTTTGCCATTACCTGCAACAGCCACCAGGAACAAACCAAAGTATAAATACTGGCTCAAATTCTCACACAAATGTAGATGTAAAGATGGCAAACCTGCAGTCTAGAAACATTAAATCTTGCAATTTACAATTCAGCATAAGATGTTACTCAGAGGTTGAAAGAAATCTTCTGATTTGACCAATCTGCCATGCTGGGGTTTGCGTGCTGCAGATCACACAACATTTAAAGACTCACTGTCCCCCAAAAATAAAAATTACTAATTCTGGCATGCATTTCCCAGAATTTCAGTATTATAATCCCCACTTCAGTGTCATATTTTCTTGCTTCACTCAGGAAGGGATGAATGAAGAGCATGGAAAAAGAGATGGGGCAAAAACAATAACCAGTGACATTATGTGACTTGCAATCCTTTGCGCATAGAAAATGTTGACACCTTCAGAAAATCCAGGAATCATGTTGCTGTGTGAAGGAAGAGTTTCAGGGAGCCTGAATACTCAGAGCACACCACTCAGCACTGCAAAGCCTATTCTGTTCACGCAGGCAATTGAAAGGGATGAAGTTTCTGGTTCAGCTTTCAAGAAACACACCATGCAAAAATCTACAGTTACTGTGTTGACAGAGTGATGTTAAGAACACCAAAAAAGCCTGACAGCTCTTTACAAAACAGACTACACTTGGTGAACCTTCATGTCCAAGAACAAACTACAGGACTGCAAAGGGCACTAGATTAGATCCCATCTGGACATATTTTAATATAAACTACCTGACTTAATGTAGTTTGCCATTTTCCTTCTGCTTTTATATGTGTAACTCTCGAATATTAAAAGCATTTTAGATGTTCATAATAAGGAATTTGTAGAAATATCTTTTACACATCCATTTTTATGTTTTATTTCTTGCAAATTTGTTGAAACTTTTCTTCAACAAACAAAAGGAGATTACACTACAAAAACTGCTGCCAAAATGGACAATGGATTTATTTTAAAGAATGCAGATTACAAGGCTGTAAAGGCTCAGCAGTTTCTATCACTCCCTGTGTATTACAGTCCTCTAGATTTCACCCTCTCACCCAAATATTGAGGGTAGAAAACTGTGGGCCAACACATAGTTTTTAAAAAGTATCTTGCCTCCTTTTAAAATGTGAAGAAATGGACAGGGCACCATTTTTCCAATTGGTTTTTCCCCAGTGTTCCCATAAAAGAAACCTGGCCCTATTTAAATGGTCAGGCTCTGCTTCTGCTTTTTCCACATCTTTCTCTACAATCACCAGCTTAGCTACTCTCACCCTCAACTTCTCTTATTCTGCAATAGGACAGTATCCATTTAACAGGATTAAGTTTCCCAGAGCACAATCAATAAAGTGTTTCTGACATCCCAGACTGCAGACAGACAAGTGCAGGAGGAAGGGAAGTGGGGCTGTTGACAGCAGGCAGTGCCCCCGCCAGCCCACACTCACAAGTGTTGACAATACGAACTGAGGGCTGGGAACGTATCGGATCTCACAATGAAAGCTAATATTCTATATCAAATTGGAAAAGGTAATTTATACGAATTCCCAGTGTTGGCCTAACAGTACTGACTTCAAGGAGGGCTGGAAATTTAAGCTAATAATGTTTTCCTTCAACAACTCTCAAAAGCATTTGCTCTTTCCCAGTCTATCAGATTATGTCTCAGGTTATAAATGTGAATGTATTCTATTGCCATTCTTATTCTGTACATTTCTGTGTTCCTGTCAACCTGACATTTATGTTGCATTTTTTGGATACATCATTTGAATACCAGCTACTGAGATCTGACTGGCCATATGAGTATTTGCCTGCCAGGTTTTCACCTACTGCATTTCATAGTAAAGTATCTTAAGAAGTATGGAATCATTTCCCAGGAGTACCAGTCCCACATAACCAATTAAAGTTTCTGTTTTAAAAGTGTTCCACGTCCTCTTTCCTGTAAGGAATCTGAATATCCTGTTTGCTCTCCTTTATTTGGTACTTTAAAGAAAACATTGGAAACAACATGCCTCATCTAATTGATCTGTACCATAACTGGCAGATACCAAATACTTTACTGTTCTCACACAACTTCACTATTTCTGTTCATTTATGACCTATCAGAGGGAAAGAGAATAAATTTTAAAAACAAAAAAACAAACAAAAAACAAACCCCAAACCCACCTTTTCAGGTAGGCAGAAAAATTTTATCGTTACCTCTTTCCAGGTTTTCTGTGCCAAAGAGTTTTTAATGTGTTTCTCAGAGACACAACTTACCCATTGCAACCAAGCCCCATAAAACAAACAGTTGATTTGTAGATGTCTTGAGAAATTGTTTTCTTTCTTCTCTTAAAACAATGGATCTCTCTTCTAAAGCTATAGACAGTGAATGTATAAACTCTCCTGAACACATCAGTATAACATATTTCTGGTTCAGCACTACCTACTGCATACCCCAGCACGCTGCTGTACACACGTGCACAGTTCAAGCTGAAAGATCACAGCAGCATTAAACAACCTGGAAATTTTAGGCTTTAGCATTAAACAGACAGACCTCCATATATACAATTTAAAAACAGTTCAACTTGAGCACATATGCCTTTATTCAGGTTTTTCTCTAGAAGAAGAGGCCTTTTCACATCCAACCACCTATTTTTCATTAAGAAATGACTCCTGCGAAAAGCTTCCCTCAGACCTATGCTCCCATAAAGCTGGAGATGGGCTTTACTGTACATTTTGATCATAAACCTTTATGTTTTAGTTTCTTAGCACCTAATAACATAAAAAATGAGCATGCAGAAAAAGAAATAAGCGCCTCAGGGAGAAAATCTAGCAATGTGAAAACAGAATTTCTGCCATACAAAAAGTCTTTGCAGCCTCCAGAATCACATTCACAGTGACAGTGTCAGCTCTGCTGGACTAATGAGACTGATCTTGCACCTTTAAATTGCAGAATCAATGGCAAGATTTGAGATGTAAGTATAGAAAATTATTTTCCCTAATATTTTTAGGAAATTAGTGTTGTCTGCTTTGCAAGTAGAGAATTATCCGTATTGAGGGCCAATTCAAAAAAATAATAATTTCTGCTTTAAAATGCCTCTGAAGTATTAAGTTTTTCTGCAAAATAAGATGTTTTATTAATACATTTTATTTCCAAGTGAAACAGGAAGAACAGATTAAGAAAGATTCAACTAAATATAATAGGAAGAGACACGTCCTGACTAAACAAATTTGAAATCTAAGTGAGAAAGAGGCAAGAGAATCACATATTTCCTTTTACAGGTAGGCTTCTGAGCCCAGTCACAAATCCTAATACAGAGTCAGGAAAAAAAATTAAATCTCTTGAGCCCCAGTCTTGTGCCTCGACCACAAAAGTACTTTTTTCTTCCTGGAGAGACTGTAATAGGCTGCAAATAATTACCATTAGGAAGTAGTGGACATAAAAATTAGTCTGGATTGGAGAATAGAAATGGAAGTGTTTTAGAAACAAATATTGCTTCATCAGGTAAACTTACTGAATAATTTACCATGTCTTCTCCATCTCTACTCTTGAGATCAGTGATCTATCAGCTTTAATATTCCACCATTTTTCACCTAAAAGAACTCTGTAGCACCACAAGAAGACAAGATTAACTCTTGCAGTTCTTTTTAACCTTTTAGCTCCTCCATGATTTGTATCTCACATGAAGTTCCTCTAAATCTACATCTATACTGTTTACAGTTCTGAGACCAGTAAATTGGTTTCTGGACATGGTCCTTATTCCAAACAAATGCCAGATCAGACAAATACAAAACCAGGTCTCTCAACTTGGCAGTGCAAAGGGATCACAGCTAAAACTTTCTAGGAGACCTAAAGCATGAACCAACAGCAACTCAGGTTTGCACAGATAAACACACACAATCAAAAAAATAAGACCAAATGGTGTTTTCTATTTGTTTGAATTTACAGAGTCAATTCTACAACAGCAATGAAAGTGTAAAACAATGCCCTGGAGAGCCATAGGAAGCTCGAGCTCTCACCCACAAGAATTATGAGCTTCTGTCAGCAGCACCACTGATGTCACACCCACCCAGAGTGCTGGAGTGTTCCCAGGGGCTGTGCTGTAGGACAGCCCAGGCTGCTCCTGGCCCTGGTGTCACCCTGGAGTCAGCAGTGTATCACTATTGCCACGGCTGAACACTGCCAGGGAATATGGACACTGCTGAGCACCCTGGGAGAGAGAGGAGCACGGCAGCTGATGGCACAGGGGTGGGGAATCCTGGCTGCATGCAATGACCAGGCTGCATCGGGCTTCACTTCCAATCAGCTCCACCTGGCACTTTAAACAAAGGAGTTACACAAAGGGGCCTCACACTGTCTCAGCTAATTGGAACAGAGGAGCTGAACTACAGAGTGGGTTTAAGAGCTTTATAGGTGCTGGTTTTTTGGTGTTTTCTGTGGGTTTGAGTTGTATCTGCCTTCATTTTCTCACAGGTCCAATTAAAAGTGCTTTAAAAATAATGATGCTTAGAGCAAATGGTATAATATTGGAGTCAGCTTCCTTCCTCCAAGCTTGTTCGCCCTTGTTTTAACAGTTACAGCATCCCCAACAAATTCCCATTTGTGATCCATATCCAGTGTTTACAAGGGAACTACTCCAAGGACCATTAGAGGCCTGATCTGGTGTCAAGATTTCCAGCTGTGCTGTCACTCAGCCACAGTCTGCCTGCTTAGTCCGGCAAAGATAGAGAGCACCAAGTGCCTTGCTGCCTTTCTGTCACAGGGAATACTACAGAAAATTAGAAGATCACTTATCTACAGTCTCAGAAACATGGGACAGCATTCAAAGTCTGATGAAATTCTTTCGAAAGAGTTTCCTGTTTCCATGAACAGCCTTATTTCTCTGAAGTTGGGCTTTGCACCATAGTTCTCCTGCTTGGCAGCTATAGATCTCTGCAGCAACAATTGACTCTCCTTTCTCACCTGCTGGAAAGCTTTGTAGTCATACAAATATCTTTTGACTCTCTTTAGAAAATAGAGAGTCT